TACACCTATACCAAGCACGTCGGAGATGTAGTGCCTGAACCACCACAATGATTGTAGGCCTCTGTCGTGTCCTTCAGGCATGCTTGATCGTATTCGTAGGACTCGAAGACCAGAGTTACAGCAATAAAAAGACACCAAGCATATAGTTTGCCAAAGTGAAAAGAAAACACCACCTTCCATAGCTGATGCAGGATGACGAGCCACCAGTTTCAAGTCTTTCCAATAGCTTGAAAGATATCCTCAATGTGCTTGGAGTCGTATATGGGTTGCTTCCAGTTGCCAGGTTACCGATTGTACAGGGATTCGTGCATCGCAAAAGAAAAAGACACGTCAATCTATAGAATGGGGCTTTCTTTGTACATCTACCTTTCGGATGACGGGTCTCTTGACATGTACGCCTTGAGTAGCTCATCTAAAGCATGCTGTTGGTTGCCATTGCTGGGAGGAATGTACTTGTGCGCAACATGGGTTGAATGGTGTAAAAGAAAGCGGGTGGAGCAGCGTAAGCTGGGGCACTTGGCCACTTTGACCTGCCAGGTAATTTAATTGCCGCTAAACTTGGCCACAAAATTCAGTTTTTGCGTTACGTGGGCTACGCTTTTGCTTTCGTGGGTGATGGTATTAACTTCGTGGGTAGCGCTTTTTATTTCGTACTCAGATTCATATGGTTTACCGCTCGCGGATATTGGTTTCGTGGAGGATCATTTAATTTTCGCGCAGGATCATTTAATTTTCGCGGGTTGAGGGAAATGATTCGTAGAGGAGTCTTTTAACAATGGGGAAGGCGAAGAGAGGTTTTCATACAAAAAAGGTCGAGTACAGCTCGCTGGCCCCCCATTGTTAAGAGACTCCTCCACGAACCATTTCCCTCAACCCGCGAAAATTAAATGATCCTCCACGAAACCAATATCCGCGAGCGCTAAACCATATGAATCTGAGTACGAAATAAAAAGCGCTACCCACGAAGTTAATACCATCACCCACGAAACCAAAAGCGTAGCCCACGAAACCAAAACCATCACCCACGAACTCATATATCATTATGCATGAAAAAAACATCATCATCCACGAAACCATATACCTCAACCACGAAATCATTATCCTCATGTTCCTGTTCATCTTGGAAATCCTGTACATGGAGGAACGAGGTGAGCATGCTTGTTGTAAGATCGAGTTGTGTAGATCGGCAGCAGGTTGATGACCCATGTCGACGTAGATTTTGGAGATTGGGTTCATTGGCGAAAAAAAAAAGAGACGAGCATGTTGCCAGAGAGTAGATCTATATTGTAGACTACCTCGATTGGTGTCGAATTGGGAATGGGGAGCAAGATGGGTTGACGATCGGCAAGTTGTTGCAGTGGGAAATATAAAGTGAGAGAGTCAAAGTAAGCTGAGTGAAAGATATAAATTAGGGTGAAATAAGACCATTGTACAAGGCCTGTAAGTACGACACAAGACGCATGGAAGTGGTGCCAGGCCATAGACACCGCACAAGGTCCATAGCTACAATACAAGGCCCGTAGATACGGCACAAGGTTTATGGACATTGTCAGTCAAAGACTTTCCTGACAATGGAGCAAGTCCATCGGTTGTCAAACCTGACACATGAATGCTGTGATCTAATTTCTCCGCTTTATTGAGCAAATACAGCTAATGAAAAATTGGATACAATAAGGAAAGTCTAATCTAAATCTAATGCTCTTTGATCTTTTTCTTCGCTCGCTGGTCAAAACCGCTCAATGGATCAGCCCTCTCAGAATATGCCACCATCTACTCCCATGTACGAGGATGGATCTCACATTTCTCCCAATCCTACTTTGAATATCCATGATATGGCCCAACAGCTTTAACAACAACAAGCTTTGTTACAGAAGCTTCTTCAACAGCAGCAACATCACCAACAGCAATCGACTGGTTTGGCCTCTTCTGTTCCTGGTGCTCAGCTTCCACCATGGGAAATGGCTTTGCAGGAATCGAGTAAAAATGTGTGCATGGTAAAAACCAAGTAGCAACGGAGCAAGAATGAGGTAGATGTTGATGGGACTATACCATAAGAGATGAATACCATTATCTGGTAAAAGAGAGCAAGAATCAGGCAATAATGGATGCAAAGATCAAGCACGTATCAAGCAATATTTTATTACGCTCTCTGTTTCAAAGACACATAGTATTGAGCATACACGGTATCATGGAGGGAGATAATAAAACATTTACAAGGAGTAAATATGACGGAGCTCGTTATCGAAAGGAATGGATGCAATTGGGACCGACAGCGTATGACAACTACTGTTATTGGACCAATAGAAGTATTGTCGACTATCTTCCATTTCCGTTCTTCCAACAAAAGCATTGAGATCCTTCGCACAAAATACCTTGATCTTTTTGGGGGAAGAGCTTGTTGTGTATGGGAAGGGGTGTCCAGGATCAAAGTATACTTGGTGGACTTCAACTGCAGCAAGCAATCTTTCCTCATCACCTAGCTTGTGTTGAAATAGGCATTTCAGCTCACCGATATACTGATATGGCAGGGTCCTTGTCAAAGAGCCTCTTGAACGAGGCACCTGCACACGAGCGAGCACCTTCACAAATGCTTTATACTCTCCCGATGTGGATGATCCAAACACATGCCCACTGGTACTCCAAAAACGACGTCCAACACGCACATCACCTCGTTCATCGATCTCCAGTCTACGGGAGCCTCTTCTCATGCGCCAAAAATCTCACAATTCCTTGACGTATTTGAAATCACTCACCTTTTTTCTTTCATAAGGGCCCCATATCTCACATCTTTCACTGTTTTCCTCATAATAATCGGCATCATTTTCATATTCCTCAGATTCGACAAGAACCTCACTGCTTTGCTGCTGAGATGTAGCTGATGCTTCGTCTTCAATTATAGGCTTCACATCATCGAGTCGTCTATGATGCTGTATCGCTGCTAAATGTATCATGACATTAACCGCATTTGTACCTGGATCACGCTTGGAGTTGATATGTTTTTTGATATCTCCTATGGCACGCTCCATTCAGAATGATGCATAAGTGGGTAGCGGACCAAGGTGATTGGCGATACTGTGCAAATGAGTCAAGTAATGCTGATTGATGGTGAAGATATTACCCTTGATGCGTTTGGCGTGTACTTGTTCTTTCAACCATTGCAGCCATTTGTTCACAGAAGTTTCCATATCCGCCACGTCGCTTCCAGCAAGTTCACGATTGCAGGCAACATGATACACACGCACTAGGTGTAGGATAGCATCCCGAGTTTGGCCTTTAAAGTATCTAACAACAATTGTGGGCACAAGGTACATCATAAAATGAAGCCAATCGATGGCTCGATAATAACCACTTCGCGTATACACATCTCCGCAATCACCTGAAAAATCCTTTGCGAAGGAACGAGCATTTGGAACTTGTATGCCGATGGCTTTGCACTGGAACACAGGCAGAGAAAGTGGATTCGGCTCTCCTTCCTCTACGTCATACTTACTATCAGAGATCAAATTCCATAACTGTTTTGCTATTCCTAGGTCAAGCATATGCATTATGTCCATTGGGAAGAAAGATGCTCCATGAAAAGTAGGCAATCCTCCAAAAGGTGTCACTTGCCTTTGGCCTGCTTCCAAACTCACTTCTTGAAAACTGAAATGCACACAATGAAGAAGTAAAAAGATGATAATACAAGGAGACGAGAGAATCCAGTGAGACTCAATAAAGGGTTTAATGATTTATTTCAAATGATTGAGTGCGCTTATTTATAGCTTTGATGGATGATGGCGTAAGGGATTGATATTTGGGTTGTTGTTGATGTGGCTTCCTGATTCAGGATATGGATGAGTTGGCATACGCAGTGATGATGGGACCCGTGCGTGAGTGGCACAAATGGTTGATTTGTGTAAGTCATGCGTGTAGTGGCGTAAGAGCTCTCTCTATGATAAAGTCAAGTCCACATTCATTGTTTGTTACCTCTTACCCTCATATGTGTGCCATCTCCTTCTTGTGTGTGTGAACTACTCGGATGTGTGGATCCTGTACCCGAACATAAAGTGACCTTGAATAAGGTATAGATCAACCGTTGTATGATAAAGAGTGAACGGTGGTATCGGGTCACGACAAAAACTACTAGCTGTTCGGATTGCTGGTCTTCGGTTTGGATCCTCAGGCTCGAAGATCATGCTTCTACCCAGTGATTTCCCAAGGATCGTACAAAAGCGACAACAACGCTTTGCTTTGTGATGTGATACTCACAAAGCATCATTATCGTTGCTCACCAGGTCACCGAAAATTGTGACCAACCCCGCCAAATTTTTGGCAGGGTCACAAGCGGGGGTAGGCAAGATACCTATGTAAAATTGCGCCAAAGCGCAATATACCACAGGTACCCTATACCGTTGGTCACAGAATAGTACATAGCTAATTTTATATGATTGATGATATATAAAATGACTACATCTTTTGAAGGTACTACATATGGATCATTCATCAATGCTGGAGGAGCCTACTAACACCCATGTTTGCCTAGTTGAATATATACAACGCATGTATGCCACGATGTGATAGATAAACACTTAATAGCGTCCTTATATTATACACGAGATGACTAGCGTTGATTTATTCAATGTATGATGTTATGGATATTCTATTACTTTCTTTCACGTGTGTGTGTGTGTGTGTGTGTGTGTGTGTGTGTGCATCTGCGCGCGAGCTAAGCATCCAATCCTAAATGCCATGCATGACCAGTTAGACGATGTTCAACGTAATAATGCTATTCATAATCCAAACCTTGCATAATATCCAACACATCTCTCTTGGTGAGTTCCTTTTGCAATCGATCCATTGACCATCCATTCTGAGCACGACGCTCGTCTAGACGAGAAGCTGCTACATCTTTACTAACACCTTCATCATTGCTGATCTTTTCAATTGCTTTGATCATTTTCATGCATCTGCTAAACCTTTGACGAGCTACACAATCGCATTAGTGTTCGGCAATGATGAGATGACAACCTGCATACCTTTGGCTGAATTCCGCCAATCAGTATTAAACCTTGCTTCGAGATCTTTTATTGCTGGAGACCCAAGGAGAAGACCTGTATCCCATTCCTTCCACGCTTGCATGACGTTGTCAACAAGTTTAATCCCATAATTTTGATCAGTGCTGATGTTGTCCGAGGTGCTGGTGTTGCTGTTGCTGTTATCATTGTTATCATTAATGCTGTTGGTGTTGCTGCTGCCAGTGAATGTTGGTGCAAAAATGGGATCATTGATACTATTCGCTAAACCAGCCAACCCTTGAAAAAGACGTTTGATGCCTTGTCTTTGAATTAGGAAAAGCACAATGACTATGGCCCATGTTTGATTCACTTACTCTGCTCCGTATTACATGCAGCCACCCTAGCCTGCTGTGCCTCGTGAAAATGTTGTTCTAAACGACTTTCAATACCATCGATTCTTCCTCCTAAGTCTGAGAGTCCATTTGCGATGATAGGTGCCACTTGATGGAGATGAGTTTGTTGCGGGTTGGATTCTGTACGTGATGCAGTCAAAAGCTGTTCGAATTGTAAAAACTCTGGATCTTCAATCAAGGCGTGGTTGAATAATTTGGATGTACTTAGATGAGGGAGATCACGCAACATCACAACATCTTGCAAGAATACAACGCAACTCTTTGATCAAATTTAGAAATCCTTGTGCACAAATGGTTTGCGGGCAATCATTATCGTCGTCGTCCTGCACACGGCTCAACCAGTGCTCTACGGATGGGAACACCTTTTGTTGCAATGATTCACTTGGAGTAACAACAGCACGTTCAAGGAAAAGTTGGGCACCGTCAATGGGAAATCCACTAAGCGATCGAATTGCTCGAAACGGAAAGTTCTTTACAGTAGATAATGAGTGCCCATGCTGCCAGTCTCCCAGCGACCATGCCTCTTTAAATTGTCTTCAGAAACACCTGCAGCCTCTGCTTGTCGAGCACCTGATCCTCTGCCAGGGTGTGTCTTGTGTCTGCTGTGGATATTGCATGCGTTGAAGGCTTTGGTAATCATTCTGTATTGAGTAACATAATTGATTTTCTTCGTCTTGTCGAAGCCCTTGCACACCTTAGTATCAAACCAGCGATTGGAATCGAAAGTAGGGAATTCTTCAGAATCTTTCCCTTGAAGTAATTGCCACCTGAATAATAAATTGATATGAGTAACTCGTATCTGAGAGATGACTAACATTGCCTACCGATAAAAGAAATATATAGCCATTGCACCAAGCGCACAAATACGCACATCCTTATGGCGGATACCAGCAACATACTGCTTTTCATGACGCTGATTCGTCTTTCCACTCTCCAACATGACAACGAGTACTGGGCACTTTGTAGGACCTTCCTCCGCAAATTGCACAAATATATCCGCTAGCTCGAGAGACCTCGTGTCGTCACCACGCAAAAGCATAACATGCTCGAGAAGAAAGGTCATTCGTTCACGTTGATGTGGTTCTTGGCCGTTGATAAAAAAATACTCGCTCACTTTCACCATCTCGTCCATTGTGTATCCATCCTAAACCAATTGACGTCGAAATCAGTGAATAAGATAAATAAGCTGCAACACTATCCTTACCTGAATGCTTCCAATGCCACGATCAATGTACATGTCACGACTACGCTGTCTTTCCTCATAATAAAAAGAATGTATCCATGCCTTGTACGCCGCATCACGAGGGTGATCATTGTTGTTAATGCCATGAACGCGTTGACTTTGATATAAATCGACAATGGCTTTAGCATACTGCGTAATGGATCCTGTGGTGAGCGGGTATGGGTCGCCTTTCGTAGGTTGCCTTCAGGTACAACAACGTCCTGTAGATAGCGTAGCATTTTCCCTCCTGTAGCAAGATATCCATCCTCATAACCACATGCTTCACACCATTCCTAGGGTAAATAGTAAGCAAAGACGGCTTATCTTTCATATTTCCAATAAGATGATAACCTTGAATCTTTTCTGTCTTGATGAATAAGATCTGATTGTCTGGTAGGGCCTGGCTTTTTCTTTCGATGCGAGAGCTTTCAACTTAATTTCTTGTTCACGGATTGCGTTGCTGATAGTGGATGATGATGATGATGATGATGATGATGATGATGATGATGATGATGATGATGATGATGGCGTGGATCGACGAGCATTGAAACGGGAACGAGCAGATACACGAGGCATATTGATGATGGATGATCGATATTCTACATGGCAGCGTAAAGTAAGCAAATGGTCGAACAAAGCTACTAAGAGACCTGTCGCCATGACACCCAAACCGTTGATAGGCAATGCCACCACTAACCACAAGATTTGTCACAAGAGATCTATGTTTCCAATGGGGATGGTTGTTGCTGAGAAGAGAGCAAAGAAAAAGAGGTACACCACTGAGGTGGTGGTGGTTGAGTTGGCTACTCAAACCACAGGAGCAGAAACATGGTGGAAGATGGCCAATCGATCGTTTACTGGAACTGAAAATTGGGACGTGAATCAAGGTCACCCCCAAGCCCGTGACCTGGGTCAGTGACCCAGCCAAAGCGGTGTCTGATACTCCTGAGACTTTGGCAACAGCAGGGATGTCGCCACCACAAAAAAGAAGATGAGCTTTAACCTTCATTCAAAGTCAATAAAGAACCACACACTGATACAAAATGCAATGAAATAAATACCTTTTGGTTGAGACCATTATCCCTCTTTATGTTGATACCATCATCTGCCAATCGTTTCAGATCATCCAACAGCGGCTTCATGAAGCTTCCAAGATCTTCAGTCTTGGGCCCTGGTACCACAGCAACTTGCAACATGTTCTTTTGTTCCATACGAATTCTCGGATCAAAATTGAGCACGACTATATGCAGCAATGTCATTGAGTTGTTTTTGCCGTGACGAAAAGGCTGAAAATCATCCGTAAAAAGTCCAAGGTAGATGTTCAAGGTGTTTTGGTCATTGCCCAACAGCTGTTTCACTGCTGCAAAAAGGGGAGAATCAAAGACGTCGTATGCACCACCATCAGCTGCTGACTTTCGTTTGGATGGATACGTAAGTTGATCACGGACTCCTTTGTTTGCACTGTAGGAAGGTTTTTTCCGCTTTTACTACGTAAATACCCAGAATGACTATCGATGTCGAAATAACTCCAAAATTGAGAGGATTTTGTAGTAGATCTGGGATACGTGATTCCTGTAATCCCCTGCTGGTAATTCATCTACTCTAATTTGGACACCGATGATCTTCAACATGACTACTACTTGACTACAAATATTTCCTATATATCTTTGCCTGGGCACGAATGGTCTATTGAGATAAAACATGCATGTATGATTCTCCTTTTTGCCAAGAATGTTACACGATCATGTATGTTCGTCATTGGATACATTAATCCACAACAAGAGTATTGATTGGTATTGCAAGCTACTATTCATCCCCGTATACGGGTTATTTTAATCTTTCGTCATCATCATCGCACATGGGAGGTACTAGGATCATTAAACTAGTTATAGCTCTTACTAGCTTTCATTGGCCTCTTTTACGCTTGGTCGCCTTCTTACGGCCATTGGTAGCCTTCTTGCGTCTTGAAGTGTCTACTACGGTTCACGTCATGGCAACGAGCTATTAATGCCACCTATATCGATTATACAAATTGACAGCTTACCAGGATCAAAAGAGCGATGGGCTTTTTTTCTTCGGCTTGCTTTAGATCGGCTACGAGGTGATGCTCGCATCTCTGGTACCCTGTACATGAATAATACGTTAACAAAGTAACATACGTGCTTCCATATCGATGACACTTACTTTGGGCTGCTACGCTTCTGGTGTATGGGTGCTTGTGGTCGCTTGTCTAGCAACAAAATAAATCAACTTTCACGAATCCTGTATCCAATTTCAAGTCTTACCATTATTACGAGTAGGCCTCTTGTCACAAGTCGCACCCGAGACATGCTCGCCCTCACCTATAAAACCCGTTAACAACCATTGGTGGTAGAGAAATAAGGACATACTTACCATCGTCATCATGTACCGCTGGGTCAACGTTGCCCTCTTGGTCCTGGTCATTTGTTGAATCACCATCGTCATCACTTGTTGAATCATCATCGTCATCACTTGTTGAATCATCATCGTCATCATCTATGGTTGTCCATTAGTACGATTATCGTCAACATCAGCGATACAAATGGTTATAAATACCAGTAGTAGTCAAATCGTCGTTGCTGCTGGTAGCGGACCAGAACTTGGCTATCATCATGCTAGCTCCCCAGTGAGCAATACAGCTGCCAAGTGGAATAAAGCATCTCACACGCTCTTCCATGAGAAAAATGGCAGCCCATTGTGCTCTCTTTGGAATCTGACCCCAAGACATGCCAATGGGGATATCGAATGTGGCACAAATGTCATCTATCACACTTGGAATCAATTTACCCTTGGCGTTGTTGCAGGCATCCTGGATTTCTTGTGGAGTGGGCGTGATCTCCAATTGGGTGCGAGCCACTACATCCACCAGCCACTCCATAACTTGCCAGCTGAATTGAGCCTTGCGTGTGCCTTTCTTAGGATTAATATCGCACTGACGAGGATGGTGAACAACACGCTTAGGTGCTTGCAGAGGAGTGAAGAGTGAGACTGACGTAGCATGATCATCGATTGGCAGCTCGCCTGCTTGCTGAGCACCACTCTCACGTTCAACCAACACCTTCAAAGTACTCTGGATCTCGTTCAACTGGCATCCCATAGCTTGTATTTCTTGAGCAACATTGAAGCTTGGGACCCATTGTTGGCTATTGGATGATGCAGGTATGGAGAACGACTCAAAGGATGAAGGCATAGAGAAATTGAAGTCTTCGGGAATGGAGCTTGAGCTTGATGTTCCAGCATCTTGTCGAGTCAAAAGGGAGCGTAAGCTTGAATGATTCATGTTCATGATTGATGTTGTGACAACTTTTACCTGCTATAACTACAGCAAGTCTTTTATATGCCTTGTAAGGTTTGTGTGCTGTTACCATATTAGGATGGGATTTACATTTGAGGAAGTGATGGATACACGAGGATAGAGTTGATAGCGCTTGTTGTGTGATAAACCTTGAGCTTGCGTGTGTGTGTGTGTGAGTGTTCCTCATGATGCCCAAGAGAATGTTGAATGCAAATGTTAGTGCATAAAATCGACAATTGGAAAAAAGAAAGAAAGGGAGAAGCAATAAGTTGGCATGAGATCAAAGACGCGATGATTTATATGCATGTATGTTTGTTACCTTACTTAGGTGTTTGCCACTAGATGTCACTAATAACTTTGGGTACCCAGAGTTTGCTCTAAAGTTTGTTCAATGAACCCAAATCAGCTTCGTGCTCCTTGTTGTATGACCAGTATACGAATGAACGGTCCCCTGGGGTTTCGATTCTGCCGCAAACACAAGCAATGCTAGAAACCTCGACGATTGCTACCCTGTCTGCTTGTCGTAATATAGGCCACACGTGATTGCCATCATCATGCACCTCTTGAAATCTCACAAGCGCAAGTAGCTTGGGTGCTCCATCAAGGTAATGGCGGAAATAACACATCACCTCACCAAAAAAAGCTCTACGTTGCAGATTGACCGGTCGACGAGGTGGGTTGATGTCAACTTTAAGTAGTATCTTGACAAAAAAGCTTTCTCTTTTGGTTGCATAGCTTGATGGCTTTGGTTGTTTCTTGTACATTGTTGGGAAGGAAGAGCAATCATAGACATTTCGATCGGGTGTCCATAAATGGCTTGCAAGCTCGATTGACTCATCAACGCTGACCACGCTTTCTTTCCTTTCAAAGGTGTGGTAGTACTTTTCAAGGTACGTCTTGACATCCACATCAACTGCTTTAGAAAATTTTCCAATGGTCGTTCGACGGATTGGTCCCCATAGCTCCTCACTATCGCCGTGCTCGTCATCCAAGGTCAATACTTGATGTCTTTCGCAGCTGCCATCACCAACATCCTTATCCTCGCGTAACTTCGTCAATCGATCCAAACGATGTCTTGCTGCAAATCGTTTCATCACATTGGCAGCGTTCTTTCCTGGTTCCTTCCTCGACTTTATATTTCTCTTGTACTCACCAATCACTCTTTCATTCGCAAAAGCGCTGTAAGAGTGCATTGGTCCCAATTGCTTCATGAGGTCAGGTACGTGCTTCAACAGATGCAAGTTGCCAGTGAAAACAGTTTCCTTGATCACATCATCATCCATCGACAGGGTCACCAAGAAATCATTGTATTTATCAATGCATTCTTCCAAAGTTTCGATATCATCAGTGTCAACTTGGGGCTTGCACATGATGTTGCATGCTTGAGAGATGTTGGATAGGGCAGCGACGCAAGATGTGTCTTGACAGTAATCGACAAAGATAGTTGGGATTATAAATCGCATGAAATGTATCCAATCCACCGCTCGATAGCAAGAATGATCTCCAATGGATTTAACGCTGCCAGAGTATGTCGAGGGAATAAGTCGATGCGATTTACTGATGTCTTTGTCAATAACAGAGAAGTCGGATGATGTCAATCGTAGGGGGTTATGCTTGGAATTGGAACGTCTTCCATCAACTCTTGTGTCATAATAGCCTTCAAATAGCCTGACCAATTGCTTTCCAATATTGGCAATAAGATGCATAACGTCGATAGGGAAAAACGAGGCACCACTGAAGAAACGAAAGTTGGCAAATGGTGTTGGCTGCTGTAATCCACGTTCTTCATCACCAATCGTAAAATCGGATATTGTTCGATATGGGGCAATCAAAGGCTTTCTCTTTCCATTTGCAAGCCGCTCATTGCTGGAAACAGGTGGATAAATGTATCGGTGATCCATATATCTGGCAGCATAGATACAACAGCGACAACCGTGTTTGTGCATGTGCGACGCATGTCGTGACACTTTCGTTTGTGCTGGAATGTCACCACCTACAAACAGCAAGTGTGCTCGTGCAAATAATGATACACCACCTGGACAAATGACGCTGATTCCTTGATCTTCTAGAATCGATAATTCTTCCAACACGGGCTTCAGGAAAGAAAAGAGATCCTTAGGTTGGTATGGACCGGGTATAATACATGGTTGCAACATGAACTTGCTCTCGGTGCGTATGCTTCGTGGAAAATTCAAGATTACAATGTTGATCATGGTAAGCGATGAATGGCCTTTTTTGAACACCTCGAAGCCATCTGTGAACATTCCAAGCATGAGGCGTTTACATGATGTTGAAGAATCTCGTAGTTCAAAGCTGCTACGAACGATTTCACCATCAAAGATATCATCCATACGACCACATCCCGAATCCTTGTTCTTGTCATGGTCATCGCTTGTTGCCACCGGATCTTCAAGCATTTCTCTCACTTCTTTGTCATATAAAAGCAAAGCCAATTGTTGAATGACCGATAAGTATGTTGCTTGTTGAACTGGAGCACCATCGACTAAGCGAGATGTACCATTGCGATCGCACAACGTGCATTCTTGGTCATCATCACCTGGGCCAAATAGCTTGCATCCATTGCGGCACACATCGTAATTCTTGGACGTAACAGGATAGCTATCATTGGCGAGCTTCTGATTCAAGTATGCTGACATCAAAGGAGGTGCAGCAGGAGCATATTGCTGCATGTAGTTGTTGATCATTTTTACAGCTCCATCGAACGCATCTCGGGATAAACCGCGCCTTGTTAAGTATGCGTGAAGCTCCAGGCTGAATTTGCTGCTGTCATCAATTTGAGCACTGCTCTCAAAGTCGACCACGATTGGTTGTTGTTGATCGTTTACATCTTCGAATGATACATCTGGCGATACGGGGTCGATGTCCATATCCCCAACGCTAAATGCCTCCTCATCCACGTTGTTGCTCAAAGCACTCCGATCGAACGTGTCATCTTGATCCATAAGGCTCATGCTTCCTCTTTGCTGGTTCTATTTGTGTCGGTTAAAATCATTGCTCAAATACAAGATGCAGTAGGGATTCGAGGAAGTACCTGAACGGAAGGCGATGCTGGTTGAGATAAGGCTGCAGGTGCGTGGACGTAACCTTGATCGAATGGTGTCAATAGTTGCCCTGTCTAAAGTCGGTAATTACAGGTGTTAGCGCTATGCGCAGGTGGCGTATTATCATGACATACCTGCAAACGATCCAAAACCGATGCTCTTGCTGTACGTAGCTTGGTGGCCGTACGGGATCGGCGATGGGCTCGCAAACAACGATGCGTATGCTTAGTCAAGGAAGATCGTAACTTCCATTGTTTGCAAATGGGACATTTGCTGTACTTGGTCGCATTGTTGGTCATTGTCAAGCACACGTATTGGTAAAGGAAAGAAATGCAGAGTGAAAAAACTTTACTAACTCCATTGTATTGTACAAGGATAATGTCAGCTCTATGAATTACTAGGATAGTGTAGCTACATACATAGTTTTTTGGGTACCAAGCAAAGCCCCCAAGGAATTCATCTTATGAAAACAATAGGCATATTGCAGTTATCCCGATAATGCGTGGTGACACACGTGGCACTCACTGCCAGGTCACGACTCTCAGGTTTCCCTTATACAAAAATAAAGTAAAAGCAGAGTCATTTAGATTTCTGGAAATAGTCATTTAGTTGTAAAATGAAGACCCAATAGTCATCCAGTCACCAGGCAGAAAAATTTCGATTGTTTATAGCCATGATGAGGCCACATGGAGTCTTTCAGACAACTTTTTCCTACAGTGTTGTCACAAGAAGGGCCAATTGTGCCGCCAAAGATAACTGTTTCGTAGTCCTCGATGGCACGCCGGGTGACTTGAAACGGGGAAGTTTACAATAAGGGCAACGCTCTTCATCTTGACAACAAAACATATAGCGTCCTTTCTGGCACATCTGGTATGTCTTAGGATGAATTGGATAACTCCTCTCCAAAGCCTTTCCTGCCAAATAATGGCTACAAAGCTCGGGTGCCTTGTCGCCGATGTACTTGTTTACACGCTCGATTACTCGCTTGTACAATTCACGTGGAGCACCAAATTCGATAAAAAAAAGTGATAGATGTCCACACTAGCTTCTATGTGTGGTTGATTGCCGATGGATCTGGTATAATCGTAAGTTCCTGGATATTGGCTGGAATGTGTCAGCTCCTGTTGCTCGATCTCTGAAGGCTCACCTGGCTCATATATGTGGAAGTTTGAATTGAGGTATTCACTGGGTAGCACAGCCAACTGATCGAGACTATGGCAGCTGTCATTGGTGCTGCTATCTCCATCGTCATCCTCAAGTTGTGGATTCACGGGATCGATTGTTACTTGTTGAGTCTGTTCTTGCGCATCAGCATGACTTTCTATCATTTGGGTATCATTCGATACATTTATAGCGTGATCGTCAGCGCCAAAGTTGTCATGAACACCATAAGATTCCACGTCTGCAAATTCCACCTCCATCTGATCGTTATCCTTAGCAATAATAAATAAATAAATCTCAATGAACATCTTCCGTTGCATGTAACATCTTTTGTCAAAGCTTACATGGTCATGCTGTGGTTGGTGCATATGACGGAGGTTGATAGGGCCAAACTTCTCGCGAAAACATGTCGCTTCATGGTCTGCTTTTGATACTCTGGAAGTGCTGAACATACGAGGGTTGAATGAAAAGATAGGGGACCACATTTCTACGCACTGCAAAAAGTTGTGAATGTCGCTTGTTCTTCATACAACCTTACCCATATATACATTCGGACCTCGACAATTGAATGCTGGTAACCATGTGTATCTCCGACCTCTGATTGGCAAGAAATCGCCGAAATAAAAACGTCTCCTTTTCACTGAATTGACCATATCGGCATACGATGTCAAAAACGTACTCCGATGTTCCTCCAAATTTGTTCACATATGGACGCCGCAATACCAAATCTGGGAAAAAAGATCCG